ATTCCCTTTATGGGGGTTTTACATGATTATTCACAAAGGGGAAGAAGAGGTGTTACTAATAAGCATGTTCTGGGTGGTCCTCTGGGTACACATGTGCTGTAGCTGTACATGCCAGTACATACATTGTATGTCCCATTATCTTAAATCTCCAGCCAGGGGTATGTTTTTTACTATTACCATGAGCAAAAGGTCACTCTTAGAACAAGCAAAAGTTCAGGTATTTCTTCATAGCAATGCAAGAACAGATAAATACAAAAAAATTGGTATCAGAAGTGAGGTGCCATACTTGAAAATGTGAAAGCAGCTTTGGAACTGAATAATGACAGATGTTGGCAGAGTATGGAGAGCTAAAAAGAAAACAGGAAGATGAGGAAAAGTTTGGAACTTCCTAGAGACTTGAATTGTTGTGACCAAAATGCTCTTAGTAATATGGACAATGAAGGCCAGGCTGAGGCGGTATCAGATGGAAATGAGGAACTTATTGGGACCCGGAACAAAGTTCACTTTCGTTATGCATTAGCAAAGAGGTTGGCTGCATTGTGCCTCTGTCCTAGGGATCTGTGAAACTTTCAACTTGAGAATGATGACTTAGGGTATCTGGTGGAAAATTTTTCTAAGCAGCAAAGTGTTCAAGATATGACAAGGCTGCTTCTAATTACCTATGTTCATCTGTGTGAAAAAAGAAATGACCTAAAACTTAAATTTATATTTAAAAGGGAAGGAGGGCAAAAATGTTTGGAAAATTTGCAGCCCAGCCCATTGGTAGAAAAGAATCGTGGTAGAAAAGAAAAGCCCATTTTCAAGGTGGTGGGGGGGAGATGCAAGTAGGCTGCAGAAATCTGCATAACTAAAAGGAAGGCAGGTGCTGACAGCTAAGACAATGGGAGAAGGCCACCAAGGCATTTCTGAAATGTTTGCAGCAGCCTCTCCCATCACAGGTCCACAGGGCTAGGAGGGAAGAATGATTGTGTGAACCAGGCCCAGGGCCCGACAACCCTGCACAGTCTCAAGACACTGCACCCTGCATCCTAACCACTCCAGCTCCATCTGTGTTTCAAAGAGGTCTATGTATAGTATAGACCACTCCTTTAGAGGGGGCAAGTCATAAGCTTTGGTGGCTTCCATGTGCTGTTAAGCCTGTAGGTGCACAGAAAGCAAGAGTTGAGGTCTGGGAGTCTCCACTTACATTTCAGAGGATGCAAGGAAATGCCTAGATATCCAGGCAGAAGCCTGCTGCAGGAGCAGAGCCTTCATGGAGAACCTCCACTAGGACAGTGCACAAGGGAAATGTAACACTCCAGTAGCGTCCCTACTGGAGCATTTCCTAGTGGAGCTATGAGATGAGGGCCACTATCCTTTAAACCACAGAATGGTAGGTCTACTGACAGCTTACACCATGCACCTCAGCTTCCCAAGGCTTTGGAAGCCCACCTCTTGTTCCAGCATCCCTTGATGTGGGACATGAAGTCAAATAAGATTATTTTGGAGCTTTAAGTTTCAATGACTGCCCTGCTGGGTTTTAGACTTGTGTGGAAGCTATAGCCTCTTTCCTTTGGCCAATTTCTCCCTTTCAGAATGGGAGTATTTATCCATTGCTTGTACTCCCAACATTTTTTTTTTTTTTTTTTACTTTACGACCTCATAGGTGGAAGATACCTGCCTTGCCTCGGATGAGACTTTGACTTTTGAGTTAATTATGAAATTCATTAAAACAGGGGAAATGTTGGGAAGATACGATTGAGTTTTACAATATGAGAAGGACATGAGATTTAGGAGAGGCCAGTAGCAGAATGACATAGTTTGGATCAGTGTCCCTGCCCAAATCTCATGTTCAGTTGTAATTGCCAATGTTGGGGATTAAGGCCTGGTGGGAGGTAATAGAATGATGGCAGGGTGGGGGTTAGGGGCAGGGATCCTTCATGAATGGTTTAGCAGCATCCCGTTGGTGCTAAGCCAGAGTTCTCATGAAATCTGATTGTTTAAAAGAATGTGGTACCTTCCCCATCTCTTCTTCCAGCTTCAGCCATGTAAGACGTGCCTGCTTCCCCTTCATCTTCTGCCACAAGGCCTCCCCAGAAGTCACTATGCTTCCAGAACAGCCTGCAGAACTGTGAGCCAATTAAACCTCTTTTCTTGAACTCTTGACCTCAGGTGATCCACCCACCTCGGCCTCCCAAAGCGCTAGGATTACAGGCATGAGCCACTGCGCCCAGCCAGTTTTCTTTATAAATTACACGGTCTTGGATATTTCTTTATAGCAATGCAAGAATGGACTAATACAATGCCTGACTCGCTGGCTGACTTCTTTACCTGGATCTGGGTAGAAGTAGTGAGTCATGTCTAGTTTCTACTTCAAATGAGCAGGTACAAGGAGAATCTTCAATCTGGGAGTAGAAGGAGGAGAAAGCAAGGCTTGTCTCACAAGAAAGGAAGATAAATATATGTCGAAAATTCACCAGTTTCTAATCTGGTTAAGTGCTATTCCTGTACATATAATTACCAACAAATTTTTTCATTGGATATCTCTAAATTATGCTAAATTGCCCTTTCTGTGTCCTAGTATTTCTTTTTACATGAAATTCTAGAAAGTGCTCATCTATATCCTGTTTTCCACAGACATATGCTTCTGTTTATTTACTGCTAATGTATTTGTTAGCTGCTAAGTAGAAAAAATCATAATGATGGCTTCCAGCTTTGCTTTATGTACAGCTTCAATTATCAATTACAGCTGGTTGAAAGCACCTCTTACACTCCCCCATCCATTTTCTTCCAATCAAAACTTGGTAGATTTTAGCTCTCTTACTATCACATTTACTAAAATGATTACTTCATTTTTATGTCTGCCTTTGCATGCACAGCAATTTCTGAATCTCTTTTGTAAATTTGCCAAAATGTTAATTGCATTTGAAAGGACAAGCAAACTAAAATGTATAAAGGAGTATAACAAAAATAGACATTTGAGGAAACAGAAAAGTAAAATGAAACAAAAAGAGGAGAATGTAAGTCTCATTTTATTAAAAAAAAATCCAGTTATTATATGATATGGGCAAAGAACTTCAGTTATTTGTGGAAGAATTTTAAAAATTGTACCACATTCTTAAAATTAACACTTTTAAAGTAATCATCTATCTTGTTGGTTTAAATCCTGATAATTTTGTGTTAATACCAAAACAATTAACAAGATAAGTTACTCAGTTTTGGAGAGTCTAAAAAATCAAATTTCCTAAAAAATTTTAGTTAATTCCTAAATTTTAAAAAATTTTATTATATAAATATTCCCTGGGATTTTGTTTTATATTTCATATATTCTTCATAATAAATTTTATAATATTCCCTTTGATGTGAACAGAAACTATTTATTGAGGAATAAATGCAAGTACATGGAAAAATGAACGCTAGAAAAACCATCAACAACCATCTTTCTCTTTTTAAAACAACAGAAAGTTGTTCAGAGTAGATACAGGTCCTCCATGATTCATAATAGAATAATTTATAACAAAACATCTAATATAAAACAGCAGAGAAATTTAAAAATATCAAATCTTCAAGCTGAAAAGATATATTTACATAAGAGTAAGCATTATTTAGGCCTGGTTTGAAACTTAAAATCTGAATGAGAGCTAATATAACTTGGCTATAAAGATGCATTCCAACTTTTCTATCATGTGAGCTAAGAAAATCTAATTCTAGATAACCTTCCAAGAGCTCAAAGTAAAAGCTAAGTAACATTTGTAATTATTTTAAGTCATCCTATACTAGTTCTTATGATTTTAGCAAAATCTGACTACACTTAAAATCATTCAATGGCTCATAATCATTTCTTATTTTATAGTTGAAGAGATGAATCCCTAAGGATCTTAATATTTGTAATAATTTGAATTTTAAGTTATTGCTGTGATTGGAAGCTCAAACTAGTCAACGAACGAATCTTTTAGGATCCCAATGTATCAATTAAGATTTTGCATTTGAAAATGACATAAGAATCAACCCAAAGTGGATGAACAAAACAGTTCAGAGAAAGCTTCATACAGTTTTATCTGAGACTCAAACTAGCTATGGTACATAGCCACAAAGACGGCCCCAAATACTTCTAGCCTCCCACTATTTATGCTCACCCACAATTAATCAGAGAATATTTGCGTAATCAAAAGAATACTACAGAAATTCTCATGTGGGAGTTTCCAGGTAGCTCATAAAAGGCAGAATACCTCCCATAGTGGCCTGTGGATTACACTTTGAGAGAAGCCTGCCACCATATTGTGAGGATACTAAGGCAGTCTTCTGTATATTTTCTGGAGAGAACCATCTAGAGAAACACTTATACCTCTTGACAACAGCCAGCTTCAACTTGCCATCCATGTTCATGATTCTGCCTGGAGGCTCAGCCAATTTTCCAAATGATCGTAACTTTAGCCAACTTATGACATGACTACAACAGGAATCTCATGAGGCCCATAGCCAAAACATCCCAGCAAGCTTCTCATTAATTCTTACCCACAGAAACCATGACAAATAATCAATTACATTGTCATTCAGTTTTCAGATAATATATTAGGTAACCATAGATAAATAGCAAACTCTGCTACCAAGTACAAGGCTTTGTACATTTCTTGAGGCTGTGTCTTCATGTTAGCTGAAATCTAAGGCCACAAGAAATATCAGGATATCTTCTAGCAAACTTGAGAGTAATGGGACATAAAATTAGAGAGGTTGTGAGGGGCCACATCATAAAGAGCATTGTAAGGATGAGACTGATAGAGATGGTGAGAAGTGGTCAAAGTCACACATATACTACTTGTGATATCTTTAGAAAGTTACTAAACTCTCTAAATATCAGTTTTCCTAAGTGTAAACTTGAAACAGTAATATCTTCCTCACAGTGTATTATAGTAGCCCCCTCTTATCCATGGGGGATAGGTTTCTTGATCTCCGGTGACTGCCTGAAAGTTCAGATAGTACTTAACACTATTTACACTATGTTTTTTCCTTATTAAATCAAAAATGTTCACCTTTTCACTTAAAGGAAGCACTTTATATCTACTCTTTGGCATATCCATGCTGCCAGCTTCACTACTCGTGCTTTATGGCCATTAAGTTAAATAAGGGTTCCTTGAACACAAACTCTATAGTAAGTACCGCCACAGTCAATCTGATAACTGAGATGGCTATTGAGGGACTCACAGGCAGGTAACATCGACAACATAGATACACTGGACAATGGGATGATTTACATCCTGGGTAGGATGGAGTGGGACAGTACTAGATGTCATTATGCTAATCTCAGAACAGCACACAATTTAAAACACGTTATTTCTGTAATTTTTCATTTAATATCTTTGGACTGTGGATGACCGTGGACAGCTGAAACTGCAGAAAGTGAAACTGAAAATAAAGAGGATCTACTGCATAGTGTTATATAGAAGAAGAATAGAAACACCCCTACTCTTACTCACACATCAGTCTCTAATACAATGTATGAGTGGAAAAATACATTCGGAGGACAAGGAAAACAGAACGATAAAACTGTAGATGACAGGATGAGGAGGAATGGATAAATATTTAGCTAATCTTGTTTGTATGTGTGAATACTTTCATTAAAGTTAGAAAAATAATAATAGATTGTAGATAGGAGAAAATGAAATATCTCCATTTTATAGAACTTTTACATGAAAATAACATAAATTAAAATTAGCTTACTTAACGTATAGACCCATACAAATAAAATTTTATCAATACATTTTCATGACAGCTGCTCTATCACTGGTAATTGAAGTCTCCAGTCTTTGCTAGTATAATTCACAATATTACAAAATGCAAAAGTTAGTGTTGGTCTAGGAAATCAAATAAAATTCTTGAAACAAGAGGATCAGACGTAAAGCCATGAGGATCTCCTGGTTTAAACAAGTATTGGTGCTCTCAACAGGAACAAATCTTGGTCTTAAGTAGATGCCAAAGACCTCCAGCCTTAGGTAAAAAACTGATAATAGAAATAAGATGGAGCTAGAGCCTGGCACTGAGCTCTCAATGTTTTCCGATGTATTTATTTGGCAATAGTCTTGGGTTATGAAAAATTAGCACAATTAGAAAAGTTTAAAAAATAGAAGCATTAGGTTACTTTTCAAAATATTCTTGATGAAAACTAATCCACTTACTACATCCTGACCCATCTGCTATGGTTTAACTGAGTTGGTGTGTAGTGAGCGAGGTTAGCAAGATGCTGCTGTCTGGCCTTCAGGAATTTGTAGCCCTCCCTATTTCTCCAAATATAAAAACCGAAATTCAGATAGAAATATATGCCAAATAACACAAAACATCATCTAAAATATTTATTCAACAAAACAAGGACAACACATGGAAAAATATGCAAAGTCTCTTTAAAGTAATGTTCAAAACCTGGGTAAAGACGATGAAATTAAAATAATATAATCCTAGATTTACAGATGAAATCAGCATGGCCAAATGTGGATAGTTATTTACTTTTATGCCATTACTGTTTAGTTTCATGTGTTACTTTTTATCTAATATATGTATATTGGACCCATCTTCATCTTCTATAGAAGATGTAATAAAAGCACTGTGTTATATCCACACTATAAGTTCGTTTAAAGGTGCATTTTCACAGCCAGCATAGTATAACACCTGCAGACTTCTGAAATAAGAAATGATTGTCATGAGGAACCTAACATCATGTTGATTCTGTTATAAACAAACTGTCCAATACAGTGACCACTTGTTACGTGTGGTTCTCAAGCACTTGAAATGTGCTAGTCCAAACTCAGATGTGTTATAAGGGGAAAATGCACACAAGATTTCAAAGACTTAGTATAAATTATGAGGGTCATATTTCTCAGAAATTATTTTATATTGATTATATGCCTTGAAATATTTTGTACATGGCATAAACTATAACATTAGAATAATTTTCACTCATTTTGTTTTATTCTTTTAATATGACTATCAGAATATTTTAAGTTAAGTATGTGAATCACTTTTGCTACTATTCTACTTCCATCAGATAATATCATCCTAGAGGTTTTTCCCAGAACTTTCGCAAGTATGACAGATTTTCAGTAGTTTGAAAGTTCAAAAGACAAAAATAGATTTTAATCTAACTACTAAAGAATGACTTTTTCTCTCTGGCTTTCTGAGCTGGGATTAACTTGAGGATGTAATAAAAGGAAATCTATTTAGATTTGTTTCTTTAATTTCTTCAGCCTGTGACAGTTGGCATCAAAAAGAGGGATGGCATCAATAGAAGTGAGCTAGCCAGTTAATTTACTCTTCCAGGCAGGTTAGAGGTTGATCACTACTTGTTTATGCCACCAGTTTATCTGTGGAAGATGCCTATTTCTGACCAGATATCTCTCCACCAGTGTGTATCCCACTTATCCCTGCTTAATATATGCATAAAGGAAATTCCCAACCCATACAAGCCTCTGAGTGCCTCTGCAGCCACTTCCTGTCTCCCATTAGCCATGTATGCTACAACCCATTTGGGCAGCACACTTCTCCATGCCCAGCCCTCATTAAGTGTTAGAATTCTGTTTGTCAGCACTGAGGACCCTCCTGAACCCAAATGACTCAGAGCTTTGCCACCATTTCTGCACCTTTCAGGCATGTATATTCATCTTACAGGAGTCAGGTACCCTAGAGTAGCGAAATACCTTCAGCACCAGATTCTAAGCAGATGTCTACAAATGGTAATGTGTTTTCTAATTCCAAAGTCCTAGAATTCCAATTATATTTCCAAAGTCTTCATTGTTTATCTCAAAAAAGCAAACTCCAGAAATGAGTGTTTTCTGTTTTATATTTACTTTTATGATAATTCATTTGCATGAATTTGAGATCTTTTTTTTCCTTTTTTTTTAAGCATGCTTTGTGACCTAAATGTTGAGCATATGGCATATAATTTCATAAAGGAAATTGCTTGGCTTTTCAAATTCTCATTTCACCATTTCCCTTGAGTTGTCATATCAGCAGTTCCTGACAGTAAAAGAAATATATCACTGTGTTTTAACTAAGCAAAGGCGATGCTGCCACTCTTGGTTCATGAAACCTTTAAAAAGCAAGGCACAAAGATTTATAGAAAGCACTGACTTCTTCAATGGTGAAGAAGTCAGCTCTATGTCTTTCATGTTTGACTATAAAGTGCTGAGGCACTTTATCAAAATATCTTATGAGACTAAACTGAGAAATATCCTAAATTTTTCCTTTATAAAAAAGAGATATAAAAGGCAAACCAAATAAAAAGGTTTCACAAGTTCAATTTTTCCAGCTTCTTTTAATAAAGAATAAGTCACTGATAGAAAAATGAGCAAGATTGCAACAAATACCCTGTCAGTTCACAATATATTGCATCAATGAAAATATCCCACACCTGTATAAAAAGCAAAAAGAACTTGGTGAAACCTCAGTGGATTTACTTTAAGAACACCAGATGGCAACTGGGGATTTTTAAGCTATTTTAAGAAATGGAAAAATAAAGGTATTTGCTACTAAAAAAATAATTTTTAATATATTTTACAAACACATGAAAATAAAATTTTTAAATGACATTTAATGACATCAGACTATTTTAAGATGATAAAAGAGGCAACTAATACAATATTATAAAATACTGAGTTAATATATTTTGTATTATATTTTTCAAAAGGGTTAAAATGATAGATAACTAAAGCATTGTTTTCATGTGTTCTAGAATACTTTTAAATAAGCTTATATAAGGAAATAGTTACTATCATACTACTTAAAGCCAATATTTATAAAATCTATCCATGCTACACTTTTTACATGCAATATCTGGGTTATTCCTCAGAACCTAAAATGTTGTTTCCACGGTGTTCAGAAGGAGCCCTACACAAAAAGGTTAAGTGATTGTCCAAGTCCACTCAACTAACAAGTGACAGAACTAGGATTTAAACTTAGGAAGTAATGCTCCATAGCTCAGGGTCTTTGGCACCAAGATGTACTGATGAATATTCCATGCCTGGATAACTTAAAACTAACTTTAAAAATAAAGTGTCAGGAAAATAATCTCTAGAGTAGGAATTTTAAAGAAAGCCACATTCTTAGAAACTATCTGCTATAAACCAAAACTTTCACATTAATTAATACACTTGCCCATGGAATGTAATGATTTAAGCCAAAGGTGATTTTTTTATTAAAGTTTTGTTCAAAATTTAGTGGAGACACTCTCATCCTTAAAAGAGCTTAATTAAACTCAATAAAGTACTAGCTGAAATATCCAGACATCTCTTAGAAGATAAATTTTAGTTTTTTTTTTTTTTACATGGAATTTTGATGCACATAATTGGGCTAATACTAATCATGTGTTTCTTTTTAGTCCCGATTGATGTGGCAGGCAGAATTCTGAAATGTCTCCTAAGATTTCCTGCCCCTCTGGTATAAGTGCCCTGCATAATTACTGGATCTGTGAATTTGATGGCTTTTACTACCGTCATTAGGTTATGTGGATGTGGCACAGATGACCTTGAGATAGGAAGATTATCCAGGTAAGCCTAAACTAATTTTATGACCTCTTTAAAAATTGAGCTTTTTTGCAGCTGACTGCAGAAGAGAAAGTAAAAGAGTCAAAGACTGAAAAGGCTTAGTGAGGTCTACTATGCTAACAGTGGGAGCCTAAGAGTCTGTTTTATCTTGGCGAAGCCTTTCCTCATTTCTGAGGTTCACTCCATTGACTCATTTTTTGGCCCTCTTGTTGCTTCATAAAGGGATTTTGCTATCCCAAACCACATATAGCTTGCACTCATTCTAGGGATGTCTGCCAGGCTCTTAGGGGTTAAGATATTCCTCAAATATTGGACCCACTGGAGGGCAATTTGAGCCTTGTCTTTGAGCACTTTGTATCCCTGGTTGGCCAGAAAATTCATGGTCTTTGTAGTATTTTGATCAGGTATCTCCTGGGTTGGGCTACACACAAGAAGGTCATCTACATGCTGGAGTATACTCTTGTTTTATAACTGAAGATCCTTCGGATCCCTTTTGAAGGCCTAGGGGGGAAAAAAAAAAAAGGAAGGGAAGCTGTCCCAAAAGCCTTGAGGGAGTACTGTCCA